CATGTTGTTATGTCTTATCCCTACCTCTGCGGGGGTAGAGAGACTGTTTCCGGAAGATCAAGGAAGATGTGAACTGAAAAGTCAACCCATTTCCCTGGATTTTTTTTAATTTTTTTTTTGCAAGGGTGGTTGGGATTGGTTTGGGAAGGAAAAAAAGAAGAAGAAAATTAGAGATGGGAGAACTTGACCGGCACTAATATTAACAATCCAAAGATAATAATATAACAGTTCAAAGTCTCCTTGTTAATAATTTTTGTTTTATAATACCTTTGAAAACAAGAGAGTAATGCAGTGAGATTCTACAGATAAACACAATCCGGAGAAATATTATTTTCTACATAAACACTGGTCAGTTTTGGACCTATCAACTTAGTTAATTAACATAATCAACAATTTATTTTTCTAAGTATTGTCTACCTTGACTAGCAGACAATCTTGGCAACCACCTGAGAAACAGTCAGATATGAGGTTCAAAGAAAACCTTAAAAAATTCTATCATATCCCACTATTTTTCACTAAAAAATTCATGTCGAAGTCCTGATTCATCTTGATTTGCTGACATTTTAAACAGCCTTTAATGTGTGAATTCATCTATGACCAAAGCAAGTAAATAGCTCAAATGATAGTGAAGATGTTTATTAGAAAGAGTAAATCTTGGAAATAGCTTGAAACATAGTGAATGAAACAAATAGATATGGTTGTACCAAAAAGAACAACCTAGACAATACCCAAAGGAAATATATCAAATAGGGAGTATTGAAGCTCTACCATAGACAAAGATTTCAGCTTTAAGCAAGAGATAACCGGCGAAGAGATTGAAACACCATGGGGAAGATAGGTTGCACCATAGATGGAAACTTGAATGACTCGGAATTCAGCCAGCCAATGCCATGGATAGGTGTCTATGTAGCAGCAGCTTCTGCAGCTTGTGCACTGGGGATGGCAATGGATGCTTTTCATGGACTGCGCCACAGAAAATTCTGGTTTCCTTGCAACTTCTTCTCTCTCAACGCTACAACCTTGACGCTACTAGCTGTTGCCACCAAGTTGTCTGTTGATCTAAATACCTCCATGCCTCGTCAACAAGATCAGTTGACAAAACTTAGCAGTGCTGCTCTAATCTGTACGGTAATTGCTAATTTCATGCCTTCTTTAGGTCTCATGGAGAATAAAGAGCTGTTGATGAACATAATGGCTTTGGGAATTTTCGTTATCACAGCCATTGTGAACATTGGCATACAATTAGCTACTGGTGTAATCTATGTTTTCTTCAAAGAGCATATAGCCCTCATGTTTCTCATGCTTGTTTTGCTTCTACTACTGATCTCCTCAGCTGTGACAACACCAACTACAAAGCATTATTTGGACCTGAAATATAAAAAGAAGTACAAGTTAGCAAACAAAGAATGCAACATCATGGATACATGCACAACTGAGAAACTTAAGTACGAATTGATGAAATTTTGGACCATGGCCTATACCTCCTGCCCTCATTTGGTTGGGGGGCGCTTAGTAACATGCACTGCTTCTGGAGTTTTTTGCCTTATGAGCACAGGAATTTATGTTGATGCCATGTTTAGGTCATACATCCTCCATAAGAGCTTCAACTTTTGTAGTGGAGACTCTGAATACAAGTGGTCCACAACCTTGATTCTTGTAACTCACACAGTGGCAATAGGAGTAGGAGCTGTTGCACCAGCTTCTAGATGGTTCAGAGCCATAAATTTTGACTGCCCCAAAAAAGCAAATAATGCCTGCAAAGTCAAGTTGTTCAAAGTGGAGAACTATTGGATCCGTATCCTGCTTCAGTGGAAAGAATGCCCACTGGATTTCAGATATTGTGGTCGGCATGGTAGAAAATTTACTCATAAATCAAAGAACAAACTTCTTGATTTATGTATTTTGGTGCAAATTATGATGGTGTCACTTAGTAAGCTAGTCCAGCTCGTTTCCATTTTCTCTGTAAGCCAGTCACTGATATACTGTCGGAAAGCAATCAAGATGCTAAAATGCAACAGTATGGTGTCAAGTCTCGATACAGGATTGAGGTCCCAAACCAGTTCAAAACCAGCTCTTAGCTGCTATGCTTTACACCTTGAAGGAGAGGAAGCATTAATTGATTTGATGATGCACAGCAACAATGATCTGGTAGATCATTGGATTGGGATAGGGAAAAAGAAGCAGCCTAAACATCTTCTACGACTTCTGGAGAAACTGAAATCATCACCTGGATTCAGAGGAGTGCATAAATTTGATAGTGCCCACATTCCTTCACTAAACTCAGAAAATCCTCCTAATTGTTGGGCTCTCCCTGTAGTGACACTAACAAGCATAGCAATTGCACTTCCAAACATCGACTTTCATTCAATCAAGGAACTAATCAGTTGTGTGCATGAAGGTCTCATGTATATCAAAGTGGTGGAAGATAACCTGGATGCAAGAAAAGACCTCGCAAATATCAGGCGGGCAGCAGAATTAGTGTGGTTAGAAGTTGATTTATGTTACAAGTGGCTGGATGTGGATCTCCGGAAGACAGCCACTGAAAGAAAAAATCCGAAAGACATGCTTGAAGGTCTCTCTGAGAAAGCAAAGCAGAGATTCATTGAATTCAGGAAGAAAGATTCGACTGTTTGTCCAAAGGAATCACCTTCAAAATGGCCTATCAATATGTTGGCAGCCAACAGTATGTACAGAATCTGTCAAACTCTTTTGGTAAGCTCTGATAGCATAGAGTTTGAGAACAGCAAATCATGTTTGATAAACTGTCAACCATGATCACGGACATAACAGGCGCTTGTCTTACCAACCTACAAAGAGTTATGCAATGCCACCATGGCACCATTAAGGAGAGATCAAAAGGTGTCCGATCTGCCATCTTACTTCTCGGAAAAGCAGAGAATATTCTGGAAATTCTTCGTTCATAGCCACTTCCAAGTTCAGTACCAGATCAATTGTCAAAAATTGATCATTGGTGTACACTGAGCAAAGAGGAAGACTACCTCTCCTGCAGTCGTAGTTCAACCTCAAATTGTACTCCAACTTCCCAAAGTTCATCTGACTTGTATCTAACTGTGGACTAAGAAACAAATGCCACCTTGTTTGGATAGTCGTTACATATTGTTTTATAATGTATCATATTATATTGCATTTGTATTGATGTGCTATTTTGATGAATACAATGTTTGGAGAGATTGTATCCTGCCCCTTCGTAACATTATGCTATACATCACCAATTTGAAGGATAAAACATTGTATTTAAACTAACAACACAATACAATATAATAGGTAACAACCATCCAAACAAGCTGTGAAAGTGAAAGAAGAAAAAGGTAGGTTAAGTTCTGTTGCAATAGTAACATATTTGTCAACAGAATCATATTTGTTTCACATCAAATCTCCAGCTTGTTCTCTAAATAGTAACTCAATTACTACTTCCCCTTGAAAATACTAGAGAACCATTCCAACTTAATCAACAGTTAAACAAAATCTACGATGATGAGCTACAATAATTCTGATATTTCTAAGCCATTATTATGGTTCATTGTGTAAGGTAATTATTCAATTGAAATAAGCAATAGTCCTCTAATATAGCACACAAAATAACCTGCAATTTCTATTAATTGGTGAATTCAGTCAAAACTACCATACTAGTCCTCCTTTTTCAGTCTAACGTCGTCTTGAGTGTAGCACTAACAGAAAAAACCTCTTTGAATTACAACATCCCAACCCTATAAGTCTTTCTTACAAGTCATATAGACCTGCCTAGTACTTCAGATAGAAAAACAGAATAGATTATTATGTATGTTGGATCAGGTAAAAGCAAAAAAATTATCTCTAAATAGCACCAAGAAAGTGCTTAAACTGTACACAGACAAAAGTGAACACCAGTGTTACACAACTAGTACATTTCTGAATATTGTCTTCAGTAACCACCTGGTTTATACTATGCCCACAGCATCTACATTCAGGTTCCTAATCTGAAGTCTACTAATGAATTCTATGAGATCCCTATCAACATTACCAAGCAGATCCCAATCTTAATACGAAATCCTATGAAGCTGAGAAAAAAGTAGTGAATTTTATTAGACAGAATTGAACTTGTTCGTAAATTTCATTTAGACATTCGAACCACAGTTACTTTGTATCTTAGGTGTCATCTTCAAACATATAGCCAGACGAATAGTAGTTGAGTATCTTAATATTCAATGAATAGAAAAACTAATTCAACATGACAGAACCCTAAGAAAAGTCATCTATGGTTAGCTGTTTGATCTAGATTTTTTCAAAGGTTGCAATTTCTAGTGATTTTGGAGTCAAAGACGAGAAAAGTCTATTGAAGAAGATGCAGTCTGAAAAGTCAACCCATTTCCTTGTTGGGTGGAAAGGTTTCCCCTTCTTATTTTATTTTTAAAACTAAATAAGGGACTGAATTATGTGAAGGGAATAACAATTCATTGTGGGAAAGACCAGTGGCACCACAAGCTAATAATGAGTAGTAAACCTCAGTTCTTTTCATATTCTTTTTGTTTTTTAAAAGTTAGTACTGTGTATTACACTGGGTAATCAGAGAAGGGAACATTGAAAATTCATCTCACAGTATTACTAATTTGGGACCCATCAAGTGAGCTAATCAACATGGCCTGTACTATACCTATTGTCCCACCTTTGACTAGCAGACAATCCTGGCAACTAGCAACTACTTGGACCCACCATCCCACCCACCCCTATCTAGGGGGTGGGCATCAGATAATAACAATGAAAATAACATACTAGTATATGTCGAGTGTACGCAAACCTTATCTTTTTGGTGAAATAGAGAGGTTGTTTCCAAGAGGCTTCGGAAAATTCTAGACATGCGTGCTTGACTTTAATGCAAAACACATCAGAGGAACCCCTCCAGCAATCAAAACCAATTATAACTCACTAAATTTCAAATAAATAATAATGTTGTTGACTTTTTTAACATCATTCAATAAGTGAAATCATCCATGACGAAATCAAGTAAATGGCATAATTTCAGTGAAGATGTTACCAGAAAGAGTAAATCTTGGAAAACACTGGAAATAGCTTGAAAGAGAGTCAAAGAAACAAATAGATATGATTGCAGCAAAAAACCCAGAGTAGATACACCCCACAAGAAATTCTCAAAATACTCCACCATAGACAAAGATTTCAGATTTGAAACGAGATGGGAAAGATTGGTTGCACCATAGATGGCAGCCTAGATGACTCGAAATACAGCGAGCCGATGCCATGGATCGGTATCTATGTTGCAGCAGCATCTGCAGCTTGTGCACTGGCCATGGCGATTGATGTCCTTCATGGCCTGCGCCGTAGAAAATTATGGTTTCCTTGCAACTTCTTCTCTCTTAACGCTACAACCTTGACGCTCCTAGCTGTTGCCACCAAGATGTCTGTTGATCTAAATACATCCATGCCTCGCCGACAAGATCAGCTGACAAAACTTAGCAGCACTGCTCTAATCTGTACGGTAATTGCTAATTTTTTGCCTTCTTTAGGTCTCATGGAGAATACAGACCTGTTGATGAACATAATGGCTTTGGGGATTTTCGTCATCACGGCCATCGTGAACATTGGCATACAATTAGCTACTGGTGTTATCTATGTTTTCAGCAAAGAGCATATAGCCCTCATGTTTCTTATGCTTATTTTGCTTCTGTTGCTGATCTCCTCAGCCTTGACAATACCAACTACAAAAAGTTATTTGGACCTGAAATATAACAAGAGGTACAAGTTAGCAAACAAAGAATGCAACATCAGCTATACATGCAAAACTCAGAAACTGAAGGACGAACTGATGAGATTATGGACCATGGCCTATACCTCTAGCCCCCACTTTGTCGCGGGACGCTTAGCAACATGCACTGCCTCTGGAGGTTTCTGCCTTCTGAGCACAGTAATTTATGCTCAAGCCATGCTTAGGTCTTACTTTCTCCATTCGAACTTCAGCTTTTGTAGTGGAGAATCTGAATACAAGTGGTCCACAATCTTAATTCTTGTAACTCACACAGTGGCAATAGGAGTAGGAACTATTGCACCAGCTTTTAGATGGTTCATAGCCATAAATTTCCAATGCCCCAAAAAAACAAATAATGCCTGCAAACTCACGTTGTTCAAAGTGGAGAACTACTGGATTCATATACTGCTTAAGTGGAAAGAATGCCCGTTGGATTTCAGAATTTGTGGCCGGCATGGTAGAAAATTCGCTCATAAGACAAAGAACAAACTTCTTGATTTCTGCATTTGGATGCAAATTCTGATGGTGTCACTCAGTAAGGTAGTTCGGGTCATTTCCACTTTCTCTGTGAGTTGGTTACTGATAAGCTGTCAGAAAGCAACCAGGATGCTGAAATGCAAAAATGTGGTGTCTAGTCATGATATAGAATCACAAGCTAGTCTAAAGCCAGATCTTAGCCACTATGTTTTACACCTCGAAGGAGAGGAAGTATTAATTGATTTGATGATGCAAAGCAACTGTGATGTGGTAGACAAATGGATAGGGATGGGGAAAAAGGAGCAACCTAAACATCTAATACGATTTTTAGAGAAAGTGAAGTCATCACCTGGATTCAGGGGAGTGCACGAATTCGACCATGCTAAAATTCCTTCTTTAGACACGGAAGAACCTCCTAATTGCTGGGCTCTTCCTATAGTGACACTGACAAGCATTGCAATTGCACTTCCAGACATTGATTTCCACTTAATCAAGGAATTAATAAGGAGTGTGTATGAAGGTCTCATGTACGTCAAACTTGTTGAAGAGAACCTGGATAGCAGAAAAGACCTAGTATACATCAGGAAGGCGGCAGAGTTAGTGTGGGTAGAAGTTGACTTATGTTACAAGTGGCTGGACATCGATCTCCGCAAAGCTGCCACTGAAGGACAAAATCCAAAAGGTGTGCTTGAAGGACTCTCTGAGAAAGCAAAGCAGAGATTCGTCGAATTCAGAAAGAAAGATCCAAATGCTTGTTTAAAGGATTCACCTTCAAATTGGCCTACCAATATGTTGGCAGCAAACTGTATGTACAGAGTATGTCAAACTCTTCTGCAAAGTTCTGATAGCAAAGCCTTTGAGAACAGCAAAACCATGTTTGACAGATTGTCAACAATGATTGCGGATATAACAAGTGCTTGTCTTACCAACCTTGATAGAGTTATATCCATGCAATGCCACCATGGCACCATTGAAGAGAGAGCAGCAGGTGTCCGCTCTGCCATCTTGCTTCTGGGGAAAGCAGAGAGTTTTCTGCATATTCTTCGTTCACAGACACTCCCAAGTTCAGCACCAGATCAATTGGGAAAAATTGATCATTGGCGCTCACATAGCAAAGAGGTAGATTACCTCTCCTGTAGTAGTAGCTCACCCTCAAATTTTTCTCCAACTTCCCAAAGTTCGTCTGACTTGTATCTAACTGTGGACTAAGAAGCAAATGCCTGAAAGTGGAAAAAGAATAAAGATGCTGCTTAAGTTCTATTGCAATAGTACCATATTTGTTTATTTTTATGCTTTGTAAGATACAACTGAAATTTATTTGTTTCACATCAAGACTCTAGCTTGTTTTATAAATAAAAACACCTTGAAGGAGAGGAAGCTTTAATTGATTTGATGATGCAAAGCAACAGTGGTCTGGTAGATCATTGGATTGGGATAGGGAAAAAGAAGCAGCCTAAACATCTTCTACGACTTCTGGAGAAACTGAAATCATCACCTGGATTCAGAGGAGTGCATGAATTTGATAGTGCTCACATTCCTTCGCCTAACTAGGAAGATCCTCCTAATTGCTGGGCTCTCTCAGTAGTGACACTAACAAGCGTAGCAATTGCACTTCCAAACATCAACTTTCATTCAATCAAGGAACTCATCAGGTGTGTGAATGAAGGTCTCATGTACATCAAAGTAGCGGAAGATAACCTGGATGCAAGAAAAGACCTCGCAAATATCAGGCGGGCAGCAGAATTAGTGTGGTTAGATGTTGATCTATGTTACAAGTGGCTGGATGTGGATCTCCAGAAGACAGCCACTGAAGGACAAAATCCAAAAGACATGCTTGAAGGTCTCTCTGAGAAAGCAAAGCAGAGATTCATCGAATTCAGAAAGAAAGATTTGACTGTTTGTCCAAAGGAATCACCTTCAAAATGGCCTACCAATATGTTGGTTCAACCATGATCACGGACATAACAGGCGCTTGTCTTACAAACCTACAAAGAGTTGTGCAATGCCACCATGGCACCATTAAGGAGAGATCAAAAGGTGTCCGTTCTGCCATCTTACTTATCGGAAAAGCAGAGAATATTCTGGAAATTCTTCATTCACAGCCACTTCCAAGTTCAGCACCAGATCAATTGGCGAAAATTGATCATTGGTGTACAATTAGCAAAGGAGACTACCTCTCCTGCGGTAGTAGTTTAACCTCAAATTGTACTCCAACTTCCCAAAGTTCATTTGACTTGTATCTAGCAGTGGACTGAGAAGTAAATGCCTGACATCTTGTTTGGATGGTTGTTACATATTGTTTCATATTGTATTGCATTATATTGTAGTGTGTTGTATTGTTTTGATGAATACAACATTTAGATAGATTGTATCGTTTCTTGTCACTACATAATGTCATACATCAGCAATTTGAGGATTAACCTACAAGAACGGTAGGGTGAAGGATAAAATAGGATTATCACATAATAAGCAAAGACAAAATGAGAAAAAGAAAAAAAAAGAGAAGGTAACGATGCAATCACACCAAATCGGTCTTGACATAAAATGAGTCTTTGTCATTACATAACGTTCAAGTAACAATCAAAACAAACATTGTAAAAACTAACACAACACAATACAATAGATCACAATCATCCAAACAAAATCTTTGATTAAAAAGGTATGCTAAGTTCTGTTGCAGTAGTATCATATTTGAAAAAGTGGTTTACATGAAATAACATGATGCAAGAAAACTAACCTGCAACACTGTCTTTTTGGCTGCTAAATTGGTCTTAGAGATTGCCAAGTTTTCCTCTACTTGGTCTAATATTTGCTTGTGCTCTTTGAATTCTGCATTAGCCTTATTGTCCTACCCTACTTGTATAGCTCACATAAGAAAACAAACTATTTCGATATAGTAAGATATTTGTATGTTGAGAAGTTAAGACTAGAGTAGTTAGAAAGTTTGTATGTTTTTTGTAGTTTAGTTAGTCCCTAATTTATTCAATATAGTTTTCAGTTGAATCACTTTGAATGTTGTTGGTAAACTTAGCTTTGATCTATGAAAATCCTTATAAATAATTATTCTTTTTGGAACCTCAGGAAATCCGTAGTCGCTATCCTTCCAGTGACAGCATGTGAACCAATAGTAAACCGCGCAAGGCTAACCCGTTGCGACAAGCTTAATTGAGAAGGCCTTGGTAGGAGATATTGATCTCTGGCTACCCTTGTGGGATACACCTAGTGCACCAATTCAGACACCCTTACGGGTCCTTATAAATAGTTACAATAGGCATTATGTTGAATGAAAAATCAAAATTATCTTCACTCTTGCATTTTCTATTCTTCATTTTTCTTAATTATGTATGCTTTACGTTTGTGAATATTTACTAGCTTACTCGCTACAAATGATATAGAGACGACGAACTTACACCTCGCTTTAAGTTGCAATGCTCAATATATTCACTGATAGACCAATGTGAACTTCATTTAGATATTGGAACTACACACTAAATCTTATGTGTCATCTACAAACATATAGCCAGAGAAATAATAGCTGAATGAGTGTCTTAAAATTCAGTAAATAGAAAAACTAATTCAACATGACAGAACCCTAAGAAAAGTAATCCATGGTTGGCTGTTTGATCTAGATTTATTCATAAGTCCAATATCCAATGTTGTTGGAGTCAAAGACAAGAAAAGTCTACTGAAGAAGATGCAGACTGAAAAGTCAAACTATTTCCTTGGATAGTTGTTATTGCAGGGGTGGGTGGAGGGGTTTCCCCTTTTTAATTTTTTTAATTTTAAATTTTAATTATTTATTACTAAATAAGGAACTGAATTATGTGAAGGGGATAACAAAAATTGAAACTACACTTACCGTGGAAAAGACTAGTAGTACTACTACAAGCTAATAAATAAGTAGTAAACCTTAGTTCTTTTCACGAACTTATTTTTTAAGAGTTAGTACTATACACTTCACTGGGTAATCAGAGAAGGGAACATTGAAAACAGTGTTACTAAACTGTAATAATGGGGTGAATTGATTTGGGAAGTAAAAAGTTCTTTTTATAAAAATTACGTATAAGAAAAGCAAAATTCAAGGAGGCGGCCCTCAGTTCCCGCGCACCAAAAAGTACTCCCTCTATCCCATCCGTGTAAAGAGTCATTCTTGGGTCATCAGCTTGGCTGCATTAGGGGAGTGGGGGGAATAAGTTCTCTTTTATAATACTTCATTTATTCATACTTGTTACAGTTGAATTTGACTCGCTCATTAAAAAAATAATGATTGACATGACTATTTTAGTACACTACCACATTATCCATATTAATTGATGTATAGTATGAGATCATGAAAAATGATTTGGGATTAAGTAATTAATGTTAAGAATAAAACATGTAAAGAATAATTTGATATATTAAAAGCAATAAGTAAAAGTAAAAATGAACTGAGGGAGTACCTTACTAAACAATCAGTGGTCTGTTGCACCCATCAAGTGAGCAAATCAACGTGGTCCAAGTTTGTATTAGACCTACTATTGTCCCACCTTTGACTTTCAGACAATCTTGGCAACCAATTGGGGACCCCCATGACATAGGCGCTTCAGATAGACTTCAAAAATTTCTAAACATGTGCTTGACTTTAATATAATAAACACATCAGAGGAACCACTCCAGCAACCAAAGCCAATAATACTCACCAGATTTCAAATAAATAATCATGTCAGCGTCCATCTTGCTAACATTCTAATATCATTCACAAAGTGAAATCATCCATGACAAAATCAAGTAAGTGGCCAAATTTCAGTGGAGATGCTACCAGAAAAAGTAAATCTTGGAAATAGCTTGAAAGAGAGTCAAAGAAACAAATAGATATGGCTGCAGCTAAATACCCAGAGTAGAAACACCCCCCTCAAGAAATCCTCAAATACTCCACATACACAAAGATTTCAGATTTGAAACGAGATGGGAAAGATTGGTTGCACCATAGATGGCAACCTGGATGACTCAAAATTCAGCGAGCCGATGCCATGGATCGGTATCTATGTTGCAGCAGCATCTGCAGCTTGTGCACTGGCCATGGCGATTGATGTCCTTCATGGCCTGCGCCATAGAAAATTTTGGTTTCCTTGCAACTTCTTCTCTCTTAATGCTACAACATTGACGCTCCTAGCTGTTGCCACCAAGTTGTCTGTTGATCTAAATACATCCATGCCTCACCGACAAGATCAGCTGACAAAACTTAGCAGTGCTGCTCTACTCTGTACGGTAATTGCTAATTTTTTTCCTTCCTTGGGTCAAATGGAGAATAAAGAGTTGTTGATGAACATAGTGGCTTTGGGGATTTTCATCATCACGGCCATCGTGAACATTGGCATACAATTAGCTACTGGTGTTATCTATGTTTTCTGCAAAGAGCATATAGCCCTCATGTTTCTTATGCTTATTTTGCTTCTGTTACTGATCTCCTCAGCCTTGACAATGCCAACTACAAAGTGTTATTTGGACCTGAAATATAACAACAGTTACAAGTTAGCTAATAAAGAACGCAACATCAGCTATAAATGCAAAACTCAGAAACTGAAGGACGAACTGATGATATTATGGACCATGGCCTATACCTCTAGCCCCCACTTTGTCGCAGGGCGCTTAGCAACATGCACTGCCTCTGGAGGTTTCTGCCTTCTGAGCACAGTAATTTATGCTCAAGCCATGCTTAGGTCTTACTTTCTTCATTCGAGCTTAAGCTTTTGTAGTGGAGACTCTGAATACAAGTGGTCCATAACCTTGATTCTTGTAACTCACACAGTGGCAATCAGGGGCGAATTTAAGGGTAAAAATTGGGTCACTCGAACCCGTGGTCATCCCACAAAACTCGATATATTATTTGTATAATTTTTAAAATATACTAAATATTAAATAAAGGAACCCATGATCACAAATGATTGGATGGCTCACTGGTTCAAGGGTTGGTTTTTGATTGTGAGGTTGAGGGTTCGATTCCTAGAGAGGACCTCTTTTTAAAATCAATTAAAAAGCACCATTGTTTGTTATTTTTTTGAAAAAAAACCATTTTCTTTTTATAAAGTGTACTTTTTAAATTTCTTGATATGCGAAATTGCATATATATATTTTTTATAAATGGTTTCTTTTAATAATTCTTTTTCAATCAATAATTCATATAAAAATGCATTTAATTTTTCTTGTGACATAATACTCGAGATTTATCAAACTTCTAATAATTTTTTCCTTTAATATTATTTTTTCCCGAAAATCGTATTTAATAGTTTTCTTATGAAAAACCTATAATCTATTATTGTTATATTAAATGAGCCCCTCAAATTTGTGAGACTAAAATGGTTGCCCTTTTCTTAAGGGGCAGAGTCACCCCTGACAATGGTGCACCTGTCTTTTTGAAATCTTGAATTCGCCTCTGGTGGCAATAGGAGTGGGAACTATTGCACCAGCTTTTAGATGGTTCATAGCCATAAATTTCCGCTGCCCCCAAAAAACAAATAATGCCTGCAAACTCACGTTGTTCAAAGTGGAGAACTACTGGATCCATACACTGCTAAAGTGGAAAGAATGTTTGTTGGATTTCAGAATTTGTGGCCGGCATGGTAGAAAATTCATTCATAAAACAAGGAACAAACTTCTCGATTTCTGCATTTGGATACAAATTCTGATGGTGTCACTCAGTAAGGTAGTTCGGGTCATTTCCACTTGCTCTGTGAGTTGGTTACTGATAAGCTGTCACAAAGCAACCAGGATGCTGAAATGCAAAAATGTGGTGTGGAGTCATGATATAGAGTCACAAGCTAGTCTAAAGCCAGATCTTAGGCACTATGTTTTACACCTTTAAGGAGAGGAAGTATTAATTGATTTGATGATGCAAAGCAACTGTGATGTGGTGGACAAATGGATAGGGATGGGGAAAAAGGAGCAGCCTAAACATCTAATACAATTTTTGGAGAAAGTGAAGGCATCACCTGGATTCAGGGGAGTGCACGAATTCGACCATGCTAAAATTCCATCTTTAGACTCAGAAGAACCTCCTAATTGCTGGGCTCTTCCTATAGTGACACTAACAAGCATTGCAATTGCACTTCCAGACATTGGTTTCCACTTAATCGAGGAATTAATAAGGAGTGTGTATGAAGGTTTCATGTACATCAAACTTGTTGAAGAGAACCTGGATAGCAGAAATGACCTAGTATACATCAGGAAGGCAGCAGAGTTAGTGTGGGTAGAAGTTGACTTATGTTACAAGTGGCTGGACGTCGATCTCCGCAAAGCTGCCACTGAAGGACAGAATCCAAAAGGCGTGCTTGAAGGACTCTCTGAGAAAGCAAAGGAAAGATTCATCGAATTCAGAAAGAAAGATCCAAATGCTTGTATAAAGGGTTCGCCTTCAACATGGCCTCCCAATATGTTGGCAGCCAACTGTATGTACAGAGTGTGTAAACTCTTCTGCAAAGTTCTGATAGCAGGGTGTTTGAGAACAGCAAATCCATGTTTGACAGATTGTCAACCATGATTGCAGATATAACAGGTGCTTGTCTTACCAACCTTGATAAAGTTATATCCATGCGATGCCACCATGGCACCATTGAAGAGAGAGCAGCAGGTGTCCGCTCTGCCATCTTACTTCTGGGGAAAGCAGAGAGTGTTCTGCATATTCTTTGTTCACAGTCACTTCCAAGTTCAGCACCAGATCAATTGGAAAAAATTGATCATTGGCGCTCACATAGCAAAGAGGTAGACAACCTCTCCTGCAGTAGTAGCTCACCCTCAAATTGTTCTCTAACTTCCCAAAGTTCATCGGACTTGTATCTAACTGTGGACTAAGAAGCAAATGCCTGGAAGTGGAGAAAGAAAAAAGATGCTGCTTATGTTCTATTGCAATAGTATCATATTTGTTTATTTTTATTTTATGTAAGATACAACCGAAATTTATTTGTTTCACATCAAGACTCTAGCTTGTTCTCTAAATAATAACTCCATCACAATTTTCCCTATGAAAATAACATAGAAATGTTCCAACTCAATCCAGTGTCAAAATCTGCAGTGATGATCATGACCTACAATAGTTCAGTTAATTTTTTTGAAACTGAATAGTTCAGTTATTTCATTGCCAAATTCTGTTTATTTGTGTAAGCCTGTAAGGTAATAATTATTTATGCAAGCAATACTCCTGTATACACGGTACACAATGTGAGCATCTAGAGAGTTTAGCCTCCTGATACATGACTTTACAAAAAGGCATGCAGTCATCTATGTAATTGGCACATCATACTTGCTCAAAAATATCACAAAAACAAAAAACTTGAAAATTATTCTAATGGTACAAAAATATTTTCCAACCCTTCAAGCAATTTTCTGTATCCTAATGAATACAAAAGACTGACTTCCACTAAGCAGTAAGAATTTAAATCAGTTATGAGTTTATAACTATTCCCAGTGAGGCAAGAGTTTTATGATGAAGATAAAGTGTTGTGCTAAACAATAATTTAGTTTAAGGTTAAATAATATCCTCCTATCTAAAATAACTACCAACCAATTTCCCAGTCAAGTGCGAAGTTGGAAAATTCCACACCATACCCTGGAAATTACTGAAGATGCCAAAAAACATCCCTTTTCCTCAAAGCTGAAGATCCACATCACAGTGCGAGCACCAAAAGACCAAGAAACAACAGACTCAACAGCGCATAACTGGACACCGCCCTCTCCTAATATAACTTTTATTTTATGGTCTACCCCTCCATCCTACAAACAAAATCAAGTGGGTGTGTGTGGTAAACAAAAGAAAACAGAAGCAGAGAAGAAAAATAGAGATAGTACCAAATATAGAGGAGCACTCAGCGGCTATCAACGTGCATAATCAAATATTTATCAAGTTTCAGGAACCAAGAGGTCCCATCAGTTAGATCATCGAAGAACATAAGCATCTGGAATAACACAGAAGCACACTTTACACACTTTTAAAGAAGAGATTGCACATAATTGAGAACTTACATAAGAACAGCAGTTTAAAGAAAGCTTCGAGACATGAAAAGAAAATATTCAACACCTATTAGAATACAGAAGATGGAGGAGCATGCTCTGCATCTTTCCCAACACAGAGACGGTTAGCAAAACAATTATTCCATTAGGACCACTTGCACCCTTGAGTCAAATCTAAAATACCCAACCATATCCTTGAGACCACTCCAAGGAAGAATCCACCAAACCAAGCAAGAACCCGAAGAAGTCTAAGAAGAGAGACAAGACATCAAATCCAAACAGATTGCTCCACGATCTAGCCTGCTAGTGCCACATAGGGACTCATTTGCATCAACATAGAGAAGGTTATTTTATTAGTAAAAAAGGACAGAATTCCTTTAGCAATGTTGTTGTTTTTTGAACAGGTAACATTTTTGTGTATTAATAACAAAACTGAACGAAGGGTGTGTAGTCCCCCATATTTACATCCAGATGAGCAAAAACAAACATGCTCCTAGTCCTTAATCTTCTCATAAAGAATCGATCAGATCATAAACTGATTCTAACTCCTCCATTAAGCTATGTTTACACCAAAAAAAAGAAAAGCCCTAAACATTTCATCTTTAGTTTCTGTATACTAATGGCTTTGTCTTCAAAACAAACTTGATTTTTTTTCTCCCCACACAGTCCACCAAAAGCAAGCTGGGACAATTTTCCATCTCTCTTTCTGATTGGGGGGATTGGTATCACTGTTCCAGCAATGTTTTTATTTTTGACAAGGTAAACTAATTTCATTTATAATGGGATGAGAACTCTGGTATACAAGTGGTATCCCAAGAAGTACAAAACCTATGTAGCGATAATAGACACCCAATCTTCCATACATAGTGGAATCTCATGGGTGCACCAAAAAGAAAGAATCTGACTAGAGGTTGTTGTTCCTCAAATGTACAAAATCGTTCTGTTCCTTCAAAAGCGATCCTGTTTCTCTTTTTCCATACAATAAATGGGTGCTAGTGGGGTGATATCCCACACCTTCTGGTTTCTCCTCATTCTTCTAAATGTTCAGTTGAACAGGCTCCCTCACGGTGCATGCACCACCCATTGAAGTCCGAACCATCTAAAGGTGTTCAATCAAAAGAACAAGCGAGATACTCAATGACAATGTAAAAGGAGGTGGTCCACACCCGAGCTCTTACACATAAAACACCAACTGGTATATGTTATACTCCTCTTCATCAAGTTTCAGCTGTCAAAACCGCTACCAGGTTCCAGTCAAGTCAAGAAACACACCTTCTGAGCACCCTGGATATCTAAATTGATAGATGTGGAAAGGAAAGAGTCCTCATTCTTTAAAACTGCTCCAATCCAGATGGGGTCTCACAAACTGAGTGCAGAAATAACTCTCAAGAGTGTCTGGTCATAAACAATAGGAATTGAAGCTTTAAGCAAGGTTTGCATCACCAACCTCGTCCCACTCATTGTAAAACTAGTTCACAAATGGACAGCTAATAAGTAGATAGCAATGCCTAAATCAAAGCTGAGAATCATTTTGAGTACCTACTTTTGCAATTTTTTCAACCAAAGGATCAATAAGTTTTCCAAACTACCAGACACCAATTAGTACTTTGAAGAAGTAAATTAAGCTTATGTTACACTCACCCCTTCATAAAATCAACTATTTCCTGCACACAAATGTTCGCTTTTTTACCAGAAAATCATTCTATCAAACATTAACGGTAAGTTTAATGCTTGATGACATGGATCCTAATGAAGCATTTTCAATCAATCTTAATGATCGCAAATGCTTCAATAACACAACTACACAAGTAGCATAAAACACTGTCAGCTAGGATCATTGCTGATCCTAACCGCAAGCATACACATTTCCAGAGAAGTTATTAATCTGTTCCCTTCACTGTTTCATCACATAAGTTGTTTCAATAGCCACTTCTTTCCTGTTCAGGACACATTGCATATCTAAATTACTTGTTAGGAATTTTGCTGATATATTTTCTGCTTAATCTCCACTGAAGAAAAAGTTGGATAAGTAAATCCTGAAAACTGATGCTCATAGCAGATATCTGACTGTGAATGAGGGCGTTGAAAGATTACGAACACTTCTGCATGACTTAATTATCACTAAATGCAATAAATCGTTAAATTCATTCTATCCCCTTGCACTTTTATGTTGATATAGAAGATTAGAGGTATCAATCGAGAATGAGATTTTTTCTGTTGTCAGCAATAACTGTAGTACATCAACAGGATATAAAATTAGGGGAAAATGTAGTTACCGTTTGCCAAGCAAAATACAACTTGAAATACTCATAACCAGATGAAGTTCCTTAGATCAGTGCTAACACAAGTTGCAAATATTTTGATTCTGTTATTGGTTGTATAGTCTTGGAAGTCATCATATCGGCAGGGAAATGATTCAGTCAGAGACTCGCACAACAATTGAAATATGTCAATCACAAAAACGCCATACTCAACTTGTTAAAAGAATGGGCTTTAGAACCAGACCTCCCTGTTAGTGGAATAGAGGTCTGCTTTCTACACATCTGTTTGTGTTTCCTTTCTATTTATTTAATAAACTTTGGCTAGCTGGAGGTGAAATAAGATGCATAAACTGTGATTATTAAAGAGGAAATTCCATCCATTTAAAAAAAAAAAACACATCCAAAGGGAATACTACTGCATGTAATCTCATCTAACAATTACATCAGCTGGTCTTATCCCTACAATCATTTATCCCTTTCACAAATCGTGTTCATCTCAGTGTATTCTGATATTTGACAGCCAACAAATGAGATATAGGCTCATCGAAATTCGCCAAACTCTCATATTTCACAAATCTCCTAACCATTGTCTTTATTATTCACTGGAAAATTTCCATCTAAAGTTTATTCTCTCAATCAACAACGCCTCAATACCAAACTCAACTTTATAAATCCGTATTCACTGCAAAATTCAGCTCTATTTCATTCCTATATTACTTTTGTATGCACAGATATAAAAGTAAAAAGACATAATTTTTCCTTTGTTTCCACCACCAAAAAAGAGATAGCAATAAAAGGAACATCAATCATATCAAAACAACTGAAGCAAAATCACATTTCACTGATAAATCGTATAGATAAAAACATTGACAAAATTCAGTAAACTTCCTCAAATTCCCAAAACTCACCCTCCCAAAAAAAACTCTAATTTGCTAACCCCCTTCCCACCCACCCCACACCCGCCATAGAGGTTAAAATTCAAACACTAAGCACGTGGTGAATGACCAAACGACGCCGTAACGAACCGGTACTAATTATCATCGTCCCTCTTCTTCGGTTTGCGATAATTCTCTTCAAAATGCTTGGCGATAACAACTCCAGTGTTGACGAGCTTCTGGATATTGGGAACGTTGTAGTTTTGGGCCAAGTAGATACCCAAACCCGTACCCATAGCAAACGAAAATGTGCTTCTGAAAAACCCCATTGAAGATCAAAATTGTTTGTGTTTTCTTCTTCAATTAACCTTTTTTGGGTTCGATTTGAATGGAATCAAGGGTTTTACAGCAGTTAGGATTTTGTTAATTCTTTGAGGCTTTGGATTTTGGAGAATTATATAAAGGTTTGCGTTTGCAAATTTGGCCCCTTCTCCAAGGTTCTTGCTGTCTTGCGGAGCAGGGAATGTGGGACCCGTATTGTTTTCCCGGGTTTTGGGTTAGGGAATAGTCCAGAAACTTCTAATGGGCTTTACGGCCCAGCAATTGTGAGACTTACAACTTATAATGGCCCAATTCAAATGGGACCGAGGGGGAAGAAAGAGGCCCAATGTCGTTCCTTTGTGCTCTTAAAATTGACTGGTTTTTAATTTTTGCTCCACCTATCTCATATATTTAATTTTTTGTTTCTATTGCTTATTTAAAAAAAAGTTAATGGAGAAGTATTTTTATTTATGCATACTTGCTTCGTTTGGCAAAAAGCTTTTGTAACATTAATAGAGTTTATTATCTTCTGAAACTAAACTTTTTGTTCGATATAAATTATGTATGAATTAAGTTATCTGACATAATATTTGTAGTATTTTATCTAAATTTGTTATAGTGTTTAAAAAGTGAAGTTCAATATTTTTATAGACATGTGCTTTATTCCTTTTTAGTTGAATAGCGCGCGTGTTTTTTTGGAGTTTGATGTGTTTTTGGCCATTTTGTGTAGGGGTGTACAAAATCGAACCGCAAATCGAACCAAATCGCAAACCGAGTCAAATCGGAAAAAAAGCCCGACTAGTGGTTTGGTTTGGCTTGGTTTGGTATTGAAAAAAAAACCCAACTATATTTGGGTTGGTTTGGTTTTAACTAAAAAAAACCAACCCGACATTATATATGTAATTTTAAAATTTTATTTTATACATAAAAATGTTTATTAATATATAATTTATATATTTTTCTTAATCTTTCTCACAATTTTATGTTTAATATTAGTGGACCTTGGGCTACATTGTTGACTTGAGCCCACTTGTTATTTTTAGGTAAAAATTAGGCAAATGACATAGTATAAGAAAGAAATTACTTACTTTCCCTACTCTTTCATTAATTACCAAAAATCCCTTTTTTTAGTGTTTTTCGGATACATAATATAACAGTGTGGATACTTAATATAGCAGCGCGGATACTTTAATTAATAACGGGCGGATACTTAAATTATTAAGTTGTTAGCAGCACGGATACTTAATTAACGAGCGGATGCATAATATAGCAGCGCGGATACTTTAATTAATAACGGGCAGATACTTAAATTATTAAGTTGTTAGCAGCACGGATACTTAATTAACGGGAGGATGCATAATATAGCAGCGCGGATACTTTAATTAATAACGGACGGATACTTAAACTAATAAAGTATCCGGTTAAGTTGAATTGGGAGAAATTAAGGGATTTTTGTATTTTAGTAAAAGAGTAGGGAAATATTGAGAATAGGTAAAGAAGTGTTGTGTATTTAAGTAATTTTTCCTATTTTTAGGAATAAACAAAAGCCCAAATAAATTATACAATTCAACTAGCCCTATTCAATTAGGTCAGCAGCTCAAAAACAGCTCTTCACCTTCAAAGACTTAGTCACTGTTAGGTTTTACTCCTTAGGTATTAGGACATATATTGAGCTCGTCTTTTGGATTTTAGTTCAAATCATCATCAACTCATCTTAATCTGGGTAAGTAATTGCTACTAACTCGTTTTTAGATATTTTTCTTGTATTGCCATTGTCAACAACATCACATTTTTGGGTAGTTGAATCATAGATATAAACCTAAAAATTATACATCTTGGTGTGTTAAGCTTAGCAACAAGATGATAAAGATGATGATAAATTTTTTGTATATAAGTTTCACTTATTTCTCTCTTTACTTATGTTGTTTCAATGCAATGAAAAAGGGGCAAGTGTTCGACTCATTGCTTTTGGTTCCATTTGTATGGAGGTTTTGTACTGTAAACATTGTGATGGTCCGCAGAGATAAGGAAAAACAAGTGATAGAGATAAAAATTTAAGAGACTATTAGATTTGATAGCAGTAGCCAGTAATATACATCATACTTTTTTAACCAAATATTTTGTACTATATTTGTATCTGTTTTGGTTTCAAAGTGAAATATACTTCTAAGTCTTGTGCACAATACATGAATGAAAGTCTTCTTGAAACACAATCTTGTATCAGAATACTAATAACTATTGTTATGTATGTGCAAAAACTTTCTTTTTGGATGGAAACTATACCTTCTGTAACGGATGTAGAGGTGATTAATAATATTCCTTCAACTATGTCGACAACAACAAGGCAAAGTAACTCCACATCGACGCATACCTCCTAAGAAGTAAAAAAGAGCAGCTCCTCCGGTCGCTCCTAACTCTGGAACTACAGGTAGAGAAACATCCAAATTTGGGATCATTTCTCCAAGTTTATTGCTAAAGGAGGTAAATGTAGGGCAAAATGTAATTATTGTACTAAAACATTTGCTGCCGACAGTGTCAATGGGACAACTACGTTATGGAATCATTTAATTGTGAAATGTCTGAAGTTTCCATTTAAGTCTGATAAGTGGCAAACAACATTAAAACCTATCAAAAGAGGTTGGCCAGAAGGTGGTTCCACTGAAAAAAGGGTTTTTAATATGGATGAAATTAAGAGAACAATTACCGAATTTATAATTATTGATGAACCGTTTAGTGCTGTTGAGGGAGAAGGATTCAAAAAATTAATGGCTAAAGCCTTTCCAAATTTTGAAGTACCTTTTCGTGTAACTGTTGCTCGACATTGTCTAAGGATTTATCAAGAAGAGAAAGAAAGGCTTAAAGAGCTTATAAAAACACCAACGTGTTTGTCTTACCAGTAATACATGAACATCAATCCAAAATTATACTTATATGATCGTCACTGCACATTGGATTGATGATCAATGGAATCTACAAAAGAGAATTCTTAATTTTTTTCAAACACCAGATCACAAAGGTGAGACTATTGCCAAGGAGATTGAGGATTGCTTATTAGGTTGGGGCATTGAGAACTTATTTACAGTGACCTTGGATAATGCAATCGCAAATGATGTTGTCATTAAAAGTTTAAAGGGGCTAATTGAAGATTGGAAAGGTGTAATGTTTGAAAATCAGTTTTTACATGTTAGATGTAATGCTCATATTTTAAACTTGATTGTAAAAGAGGGGCTGGATGAACAAATTGAGCCTATTTCTCATATAAGAAGTGCTATAAAATATGTCAGGTCTTCTTCTTCAAGATTTGCTACTTTTAAGTCTGTTATTGAGAAAGTTAAAATTGACACCCGTGGTCTTGTAAGTCTGGATGTTGAGACTAGATAGAACTCGACATACACAATGTTGGATAAAGCTTTGAAATTTGAAAAAGCTTTTACAAGAATGTATGTGGATGACCATAATTATCAAAAGCAATGTCGATAAATAAGTACAACAACAAAAAATCCATCAACAGATGATTGGAAGAATGTGAAGGCTTTTGTGAAGTTTCTTAATATTTTTTATCAGGCAACTTTAAAATTTTCGAGCAGCTTATATTCTACTTCTCACTCTTTCTTTCATGATATTTTCAATCTCCGAAATGATATTATCAAGTATACTAAACATGATGATCTCATTTTGGTTGATATGGCAACAAGAATGAAATCCAAGATGGATAAATATTGGGGTAAGTTTGAGAGTATGAATATGTTACTGACGGTTGCTGTTGTGTTGGATCCTAGATACAAGATGCAATATGTAGAGTATATTCTTTCTATTGCATATGGCTCTTTGATGGGAAGATTAAAGTCTCAAGATGTGAGAAATGTTTTGAATCTCTTATATAATCACTACAATTGTTCTTGCTCTGAAGATCCTAACGAAAATATTGAAAATGATAATTGTGTGATGGGTGAATCCAGTGATTTGTTGCAATCTCAGTGGGAGAAACACATGAATAAAGAGGGATTTGTTGTAAAAAAATTTGATCTGGAAATATACTTGAAAGATGATGTAGTGAAGATCAATGATTTTAATATTTTGAGTTGGTGGAAAGTTTCGTCCAGTGGATACCCAATTGTTGCGAAAATTGCTAGGGATATCCTTTCTATTCCTATTTCTACTGTTGCATCTGAGTCAGCTTTTAGTACAGGTGATCGAATTCTTGATAGTTATCGAAGTTGTTTATCTCCAAAAACAGTAGAAGCGCTTATTTGCACTCAACAATGGCTACGATCGCCTTCTAAAGAATGCAAGCTTGAAGATATATTAGAGGAAGTCCAAAAAATTGACGAAATTGAAGAAGGTAACTTTATATATTCTAATTGTTATTAAAATGATTCTCTGCTTTTGAATTTTATTTAGTATTCAATTTGTTTCAGTTCTTTCAGAATACCCCGACTCACCTTTGAGGATTGATTAGCCAGTTGATGTATTTTAATTTCACTACATGGAACAAAGGTATTAGTTCATTCTTTTGTGATTGTTAATTACCTAATTACTGTTTGCTCTAAATAGCAATAAGAACTAAGGACTAAACATCAACTTAGTTTATATGTTGCTAATCAACTTAATTGATTTGTATTGTCTACTTTGCAGATGCAGGCTATGGTTTTTGGAAAATATGTAAAGAAGATCTCACTTCAAAAATGTTTTGTTCCTCTAGGTACAAGGTCCTAGGTTGTAATTAATGATAGTGTAGAATTTAAAGATTTGAATGTAAATAACTCGTATTAACTTTTGATGACAATATTTTGACTATGCAAAAATTGTTTAAGTCACTATGTTACTTTCATGAATTTCTCTAATGTATAATGAATCACTCTTGATTATTGATATTATTTTATGATTTGTCCAAAATAGTAATAGTAGTAATTTTTTGAGAATTTGTGTTCCAAATAGAATGGAGAATTGCCTATTGAACTCATGGGCTTGCAATGCCAAAAGAAACTACTAAATGCTTTTCTAGGATGAAAAATCATGTTAGTGTTCAACGTTTTTTTTAAATCACTGAAAGAACACTAGTTCTTTAGTCTTTATAAAAAAACCCGAGAAAACCCGAATAACCCGAGAAAATCGAATAA